ACCCCGCCCAGGAGCGATACCACCCCAGAACCCGTGCCCGCGTCCACCCCAGACCCACCCAGGGACAGCCAGGTCACCAGGCCAGTAACCCATGTCCGCCGGTACAGACCGCCCAGAAGCCCGCATGCAGCCAGCATAGGCCATCACCCAGAACCACCAGAGCCACCTCCCCAGTCGGGCGCCACCGCTCCAGGCCCATGACTCCCCCCACGTCCCCAGCCCCGACACCCCACCCACACCCACCACCATGCCCCACGGGACAGAATCAAAGGGGACCACCCACCTCCACTACGTGTTGGAGCCGATTAAAGAAGTCCAGAGAGAATAGTCCGATGTGGGGGTACAGGCTGTCTCAAGACTGATGTAATCTAACAGAAGGTCTTTATACTGTTTAATACTAAGTGTATTTTTATTTTTCCAATTCATGAGTATAGTTTTTTTTGCTATACATAGGGCAGTGAGAATAATATGAATTGATTTTGTCTCCAAGGTGACATCATCTAAGTGGCCCAATAAGCAAACTGACGGAGAGAGTGGAATATTACATCTCAGACACTTTGATAAGTCTTCACATATCCGGCACCAAAACCTCTGAACAGGTGGACAGAACCAAAATGCGTGGATGTAATTGTCAGGAATATTGTCTGTACACTGTGAGCAAATATTAGATGATGCGAAACCCATCTTGAACATCCGTTGACCTGTATAGTGTACTCTATGAAGGATTTTGTATTGTATTAGTTGTAAATTCGTGTTTTTAGTCATCTTAAAAGTTCTCAGACAGATCTGCGACCAAAAGTTTTGGTCAAAATTAACTGACAAGTCTGTCTCCCATTTTACAATGGGAAGAGATATAGCTTCATCTATTTTACTGAGTTTCTGATAAACCTTAGATAGTAATTTGGGAGTGTTAAGATTAAGGAATTCTAATACACTTGTTGACATTTCAATCCTAGTGTTATTAAGGTTAAATTTATTTTTGGTTATAGATTTAATTTGTTGATATTCTAAAAATTTATTCTTATCAATCCCATATTGTGTTATTAATCTGTTAAATGGGATGTAGTCCACTTCTTCATATATATGTTCCAAATATTCAATTCCTTTACACCTCCAACCTGGGAAGTTTATCATCTTATTCTGTTGTAGGATGTCAGGGTTGTTCCAGATGGGTGTACGTTTACATGGGATTAGTGAAGACTCTGTCATTTTAAGAAACTCCCACCAAGCTGTCAGAGAGGAGCTGATATTGATGCTTTTAAAGCATTCCTGTCGTTTTATGTTTGAGCTAATGAATGGAAGGTCCGAGATCATTATATTATTGCAAAGTGTCTGTTCTACGTCTAGCCAGGGTTCATCAAGGGGTGTGTGTTTTATCCATTTTGAGATGTATTCTAGCCTGTTGGCTAGAAAATAATAATAAAAGTTGGGTAATTCTAGTCCTCCTTTATCTTTGGATTTCTGTAGTGTTTTTAATCTAATACGAGGGCATTTATCTTTCCACAGAAATTTAGAAATAGAGGAGTCCAGGGATCTAAACCAGTCAGATGATGGTTTATTTGGGATCATTGAGAATAAATAATTTATTCTAGGCAAAACCATCATTTTTATTGATGCAATCCTTCCCATGAGAGATATGGGTAAAGATTTCCATCTAGCCAGATCATCCTCAATTTTCTTTAAAAGTGGGGTGTGGTTTAGTTTTGTTAAATCTGCTAATTTAGGCGAAACTTTGATACCCAAATATGTAATATTCCCTGATTGCAGTTGTGTAATAAGTGAATTGTTGAAAGAGCAATTAATTGGTAGAACTGTGGATTTTATCCAGTTTATAGAGTAATCTGAAACTTTTGAGAAGGAGTTTATCAGTCCAATAACCTGAGAGATGGAGGTTTGTGAATGCCAGAGGAAGAGCAGCACATCATCAGCATATAGACTGATTTTGTGCTCTCTGTTCTTGCATTTTATGCCTTTAATATCTGTAGTTTGCCTGATTGCTGCGGCTAGCGGTTCGATGAAAATAGCAAACAGTGAGGGGGAGAGTGGACATCCCTGCCTGGTTCCCCTTTGCAGAGCAAAACTAGCAGATATTTGATTGTTTGTCCTAATGCATGCTGAAGGAGAACTGTATAATATTTGTAACCAATTTATGAAATAAT